TCATTGAAGCCATCTTTTTGGATGGACCTGGTGCCTTTTGACAATTTAAATTATGCATTTTTTTTACATTCAGCCGATGTGATGAATCGGAATGAAAATTTATTATTATTTCGAATTTTGCATGTGGTGGACTTTGCCTGATTTTTGAATTTTTCTCATAAAAGCATCCAAGAGTTGAGAAATTGTAATTTAGCAGGTTTGCCATCTGTAAATTATTGCCGAAGGAGTTTCTAAGTAATGGAATGAGGTTGGAAGATTTTTTTGAGTTTCTTGTATTGTTTATTTTACTCCATTTTTCGTGTTCGCTTTTTTTGGAGTTAAACAGTTGGGATATAAATTTATGATCTTCGTAGTTTACTTTTGGTTTGTCGTTGCGAATGAAAATAGTCTTCTGTGGGGCACATTCTTTAAGGGTGTCAGCAATGTTAGATGTGAAGATGTCGAGCATTATTTCGGGATTATTATTGCTATAGAAACTTCTCCAGTTTATAGCTGATAGTTTTTGTTTGAATTTGGAAATGGAGTAATTGGATTTGTCATATATTTTACGTTTGATTGGTCTGACATTTTTGTTCAGCTTAAGTTCTGTAATGAATGCTGTTGCTTGGTGGTCGGTCCTAATTGGTGGTGTGAATACCATTGAATTATTTGTTAGATCTTTTATGCCTAGGTCGGTGATAAAATAGTCAATTAGTGCTTTTGAGTGAGTAGGTGTTAATTTGTTTGTGACGTCCAAATTATATGGTATTAGGATTGTATCTAAAGACTGTTTGTCGTCTTCGCTGAGATAGTTGAGATTGTAATCTCCTAGTAAAAATAGGTTTGAATTGAATGACTGCATGGTCAATTGATTTGGCTAGATTTTCTAAGAAATCTGTTTTGTTGTGTCTACTAGGATTGTAGTCTAGGTTTAATAGAGTGGTTCTATCCTTTTTGTTGAGTACGGCTTTAAATTCTATCCAGATGCTATCATACTTTTTGTTTTAAGTCATGTCTTACTTTTGGGTTCAACTTTTTCGGAACCAGTAACATGACCCCTCCACCCTTCAATTTTTTACTTGATTCATAAGTTCTATCACATCGGAACAATTTATGTTTGTCATTGTCTATGGCCCATAGTTTATCGTCATTTGTATCATTGAACCATGTCTCGAAAAATCCAAAAATTGTATTATCATTAAAAGTTTTGATAAGTTGTTTGAGATCTGAACGCTTTCTAGCTAAATTTCTACAATTAAGATGTAGTACTTCCAAGTTGTTGTTGTAGTTTTCCAGTTTTTTCTGTATTTGACTGAATTTGATAAAGGGTCCTGGATTTGGGGGGATATCCCCTGATTTAAGGAGAGTTTTAAGAGGGGACCTTTCTTGTTTTTTATAAGTCTTGCTTGTGTTTTTTATATAATAAATGTGATAGAAATAGCTTATAATATTAAGTATAGTGCAATAATGTTTGTTCGACTATTTTGTGGCAACCCATGGAAAAAGTTACTTTCCTTTTCTTTTATTCAGTACCTCATAAGCTACAAATTGATCGCTTTCGCAGCAGCTTATGACAGATATGCTAGTTAAGGCAAAAAGTAACAGCATATCGCTTTGTAGAACAATTATAGTTAAAACTACAAATAACAGTCGTTTATCAAAAAGATAGTCATAAAAAAATCTTAATAACTCCTGTACTTTTTTATTACCTGTTTACGCCACAGCTGCCGTTCTTAATTTCTTTTGGTGCTGTAGATTTTTTTATTTCCATTGTTATTCTGTAGAAAGAATTTAAGTCTTTTAGTAGTGGTAAAAACGGCAGATCAATGTAAAATAAATTCCAGAAACGTTTTTGACATAAAAGTCATCATCAACCAATCTAAAAAACAAAGCACCTGTAAAACCGGAATGGAATTGGATGTGTAGAAATTACCAAAAATGTATAAAAACTAACATTAAAAAGAATATAAAAATAGCATCAGTTAGGACCCGAGTTAGTCATGTGACTAAAAAAAAACGGACTTAAAAAACCTCAAAACTTGACTGTGAGGTACCGCTGCCTGTATTCCTCGCGCGTGTTGAGGGCAGGTCTTCTCCTCGAAATATAAAGCGCTTCTAAGGTCAAAAGTTTATTCGTGTCTAAGCATCTGTCTAAAATTCTCGCCTCAACTGCAGCCTTGTCTGCTCCGCATTCCTTTAGATGACTACCCACCGGCGCAGAGTCCCTAAGGTGTTCAATTTTTCGGGTGATCAGGTATCGGACGGTCTGTCCAACATAGCAGGAATTGCATCCTGGCCAACATATCTCATAAACCACCCTACTCGTCGAATACTTAGGGAAATCTGTTTTCAAAGTGGGAAGACAGGTTCTGAGATTGCGGGTCGTGAATATTGTAGAAATACCACAGTTTTGCAGCCTTTTCGCGAAAATATCAGACACTTTTCTTCGATACTGGAGCCGGATAACTGGTTTCTCGATACTTTCAGGCTTTATTGAATTGGTTGTTGCTTGTGTGGTCGTGTCCTGGTTTTCCTTGATTTTAAGAAGAGAATCTGTCACTATGGTTTCATAAAAAGCCGGAGAAAACTGATTTGCTTCCCAATCATTTTTTGCTTTCCTCAAACCTTTATCAAAGGCCTCCCAAGTGGAAGTGGAGTGATCAATTCTGTGCAAGGTGCCCTGAACAATGTTTCTCATGTATTTTGTTGGCGCACAGGCGTGAAACCCAAGGGTGAGTCCAGTGTCTGTAGGTTTGCTGTACCATTCTGTGCTGATAGTACGGCCGGACTGTCTAATAATCATATCGAGAAAAGGAAGCGTCCCATTGAGCTGTAATTCTATTGTGAACTCCAGGTTTGGATGTAGCGTATTCACATATGATAACAGGCGATCAATCTCAGCAACCTTGACCGAGCGCAGGATGTCATCTAAGTACCTACCAAAAATTTTTGCTTTAGGTCTAGACGATACTGCACCGCAACCACAATTCCAATAATTATCATCCATACCTTTGAGCTGGCGGATGGTCAAATTGGTGCATTTAAGATGAAACCATCGGTCACAGTCATCACAGCAAATAGAAAAACCTTCATCCAGGACCTCCAACATGCACGTGCCACAGAGATAGCTGTCTTGTGAAGTGAACCATGGCTGTTGAAGTTATCTGGTGGTTGTCTGCTGATTCTCTCTTCGAAACTTTTCATCCAGATATTGGCAAGAATGGCTGCTAAAGAAGAACCCATCGCTACCCCCATCAGTTTGGATATACCATCTGCCATCACACATAAAATAAACGTCTGTAACCGCCATTCTCATGAGATCTTCGAAAGTTTCTTTATCAACAGGAGGAAGTTCCTCCGAATTATAGAGAATATCTACTGCTAACCCGATCGACTCTAGGACAGGGACGTTGGTATATAGGCTCTTGACGTCGGGAGAAACAATAACTTCGTCTTCTTCTAAACTCACCTCCATCAAGTCACGTTTGATATTGATAGTAGACGTCTCTATTCTGGCTTCTTCAATTTTATTAAACCATTTACTCAACTGGTTTGTAAGATTCTCATAACAGCTACCCGGGAGAGACAGAACTGGACGGAGAGGTGTTTTCTGTTTATGTACTTTCGCCAGGCCATGCAGTCTGGCCGGCTGAGCACCCGTAGATCTGCATTTACTGTATAAATCGGATGAGATCTTCCCCGCACGAACAAGTGACATGAGGTTTCTATTGAACGTCGACTCAATCGCAATTAAAACATCCTTCTTTCTAGAATCATCGAAAGGCTTGAACTGTTCTCCATTCAGAACTTCTAAGAGTCGTTCGCTATAATCTCCGGCAGACATCAAACAGTAGCCAGCACCCTTATCAAAAGGGGGACAGCCTTCAAGTTGTTCTTTTTGAGATAAGAGGTAATCATTTTTACTGCGCGGTCAGGCCTCTGTCTCTTCATCTGCTTGAGATAACCAACAGTCAACGCGTTTACTTCGTTCATAGCATCAATATTTGAGTCATCATTTTTCATTTGAGCCAGTACTTTGTCGATATCTGCCAAAAAATGCATCTCATTGAATTGGTCCAGAACAGGGTGCGTGCTTGGGACCCAATGAAAGCAGATCAATAACATACTTCGGTGGCTCCAAATCACCAATAATTTTGGCAGTATTTCCCACAGATCTCAAGGGTTTTTCCTGTTCGGCAGCCAGTGCCACAAGTTTTTTGTTGTGTCTATCATGAATAGTAAGGCGTTCCGCTCTGGTGTCCCTGCGCGAATGCCAAGCAACAGAGAGAAGTAAATAATCTGTGCATTTTTCTTTCAGAAGTTGTCGGGCGTTGCGTAACTGGTCCGATCTCATGATCATTGTCCGGTGTGCTTCCGACACCTCTCGTCGTAGTAGTCTTCTTTGAAAGTTATGGACCATTGTTGCCTCTAAGCAACCATTTTCAGGAATACGAAACTTGAGGAAGCGGGGAATTAAGTCATTGCTCAGACACTTTTTCAAAAATAAAATTCGTTGTTGACAATTTGTCGCTTTTAACAAAGCCGCTGTGTAATCCAAATAAATCTTCCAAATCCCGTCTTGCTGTAATATCTTCTTCAAAAGTTTAAAAAGGATAACATACATTGATATGTAGACAGTGGTAAAAACGGCAGATCAATGTAAAATAAATTCCAGAAACGTTTTCGACATAAAAGTCATCATCAGCCAATCTAAAAAACAAAGCACCTGTAAAACCGGAATGGAAATGGATGTGTAGAAATTACAAAAAATTTATAAAAACTAACATTAAAAAGAATATAAAAATAGCATCAGTTAAGACCCGAGTTAATTATGTGACTTTTAGTCACATGACTAACTCGGGTCTTAACTGATGCTATTTTTATATTCTTTTTAATGTTAGTTTTTATACATTTTTTATAATTTCTAAACATCCATTCCGGTTTTACAGGTGCTTTGTCTTTTAGTTGTAGTAGTAATTAAAGTGTTTCTTGAACAGGGAAAACTTAAGTGGATTGTTTTTTAGATCAATGAACCTGGACGATTTATTAATCCATGCCGGTTCTAAAGTCCATATCAAAGCTCCCGCTAAACTAAAGGAAACATTGCAAGATTACTGTTTTGATGGTGCTGACTTTCTTCAGGTTAGTTCCGTGGTTAGTCAGTAAGTTGAAATTATTTGGGCGACAAACAAACTGCATATCTAGTGCTGCTCCAATTTAACTCTAACGGAATAGTAAGGTGATGACTAGGCGTATGGATTGGCATGTGTGCCTATTAGCATACAATAATTACTTAAGCTTTGTGTGCTTTCTGACGTAAAACAAATTTGCCTAAGTTTTCAAGTAACTTCGAAAACCGCTTGATTTGTCGGGAAATGAAATTTCGCTTCATTAAAAATACGGCTTAGTGCGCGCTGTTCAAATGTGCAAGTTTAAGCAAACTTCATGTGAAATAGCGAATCTGCAAGTTAAATTTTTTTCAAGTTACATTTTTTTCATGGGCATGCTAATGGATGCGAATGCTAATCGGCGCCCCCTTTACTTTATATGCCCTGTCCAGGTGACCTTTAAGTAAGGATTAATGAAGCCATCTCCTGAAGGGAGAAATCTTCTGACGGATAATCGCATAAGCAAAACGAAGTTTGGATTTCGAGCTGCAGATTTATCTATTGATGCAATATTTGCTTCAGGTATTTGATTCCATCAACCACAAATACTAAAGAGTAGACTTCAAAACGTTGTACTCTCAAATAGTTCAATTGAAATGGATGAAAATTTTTTCATAAGAGCAACAAAAGTTCCGCGGAGTTTTCCCTAGACCATTTAATTTTAAACGTACTACCCGTGCAACCGGGTACTAGACTTTTTCCCGGAAACCTTTGCCACAGAATGACCTAAATTGAGGGGTCATCTCGAAATATGTGCTTGCTTCAACTAACAGACAATTTTTGAGCAATGTCTTCACTTTAAATGCCCGTTGTTTTCAAAAATAGTTTTCATATGTTTGTTGTAATTTTACTTACTCGGTTTCGGGTTATTGAGATTAATGAACGTAGTGAAGACTTTGGAGGTGGTGCGAGGAAAACTGCATGTCAATGAACCTGACGAAAAGCAAAGTCCTCTGTATCAAAGGATCAGCTACGATTGCACTCCCCAATTACAGCTTCGAAACCACTGAAGTAATGAAAGATCTGGGCATCCTGATAACCGACATGCTCTCTTGGACGCAACACGCAAAAAGGAGGGCTGAAAAAGCCTTAAACGCTCTCGTCGTACTCAAAAGGAATCTCTCAAAGGCTAATTTCGCGACCAGAAAAAACGCATATATCTGACACGTTGTGCCAATTATAGACTATGTTCAGCTATCTGGAAACCATCAAAAGGTGACTTGGGAATCATAGAAATTGTGCAGCGGAATGCGATCTCGTGGATTTTCATGACAAGCAATAGCTATATCTCCTATAAAGACAAACTCGTAAAACTTAACATGGAAACCGAAGAGCTCAAATGACACGAAATTTCGTCTGCAAACAAATGCCTCTGAAGAAGGGAGAGTCGGATTTCTGGGTTCGGGCATGTCGTCTTGCTAATTTGTACAACGAATACTTCAAATGTAATATATTGGTTGACCCAGAATGCAAAACCAGACTTCTATGAATGTACACGAAGTTTTTCAAAACTCGCTACAACGAATCAGATACATGCACTTGGCGCATTTTATGCGAATGCAACAACTGTAGAGACCTGAAGAAACGTACACTTATAACTGTAAACTATACTTCATCACTGTAATGACTGGATTTTATGCGAACCCTTGGGTTATATTCCTAAATCCTTTGTTATTGTTATTACTATAGGTCTTGCTGAGTTTTTTGTTTGCACTTCGGTATATATATGCTCTTTTTGAGTTGAATTGAAATGCATCTGCTGAAAGTGACGTAAGTATCACTCTGCAAGTACGCACGTGAAAATGGCGCGAAAAAACGTGAACGATTTCTAGTTTCGAAAGTGGATTTTTTTTCACCTCATTGGGTTTCTGATGAAAGTTTATCGGCTGTTTCCTTTTTTTAAGCCTTCATCCATTGCTAATTTAATATTTTACTGTCTTGAGTGGCAGGTCTGCCTAGATTGTTTTTTTTATCGAGAGATGCAAACATTTTCAGCATTTCATTTTTTTCACTTTGTTTTTGGTTTGCACTTCATCTCTTCCAAATATAAGAAACTGAAGTTGCCTTATTATTGAACCTTGGCAACTCTCAGACTTCCCACTTGGCCTAGAGGTAACCAGGATGTCTTTACACTAAAGTTGCACTGTCGGAGTTTTGTTTTATGGTTTGTCGGCTTAGTTGCTACATCGGGGTATACTTTTGCGCTGTCAGCAATTTAGTAGATGCAATTGTTTTTGATTTACTCATGTAATTTTTATATTATTATTTCTGATTTTGTATGTTTCCCTTGAATTTTTTTCGGTTTGTTTTATGGTCATGGCTGCCTGATTTTATGTCGCTTCTAAGGCATAATTTGTTTGTGTTACAACTTTTAACTACTTTATTGCTCAATATTTTTTATGGCAACAATTTCTTATGCCCATTTTTGTTTTCGGCTGAATTGGCGTGTACCCACTTGTTGTGGCTGTGTTTTTGACTGTTTTTCTGAAGTGGTTTAAAAATGTCTTAAAACTTTTTTTACCCTTGCGATAGCAAGGGTATTGCAATCGGGTACTAGACTTTTTCCCGTAAACAACTTTGTCAACAGACTCATTAAACTCCTGGCGGTACCTTCCTTGGTTATAGTCTGGTGGTAACGCATACGCCTAGGACAGCAAAGGTCCTGGGTTCGCATCTGACCAGAATTAGTTTTTCTTCAAGCGGCAAATGCTCCGGTTAAAAAAAACGGCCTATTATTTGTCTGCTTATGTTTTGTCGGCTTAGTTGTCTTATCTAACAATCGTTGATTCAAGCTGTAAACAATTCTCATGCAGTTATTTTCTGCTTTTTAGAAATCCGGCCGAATCGAAGTTTGCTCTTCACATTGGTTGTAATTTTACAAGCTCTATTTGTTAAAATTTCTCTTCTTTCTTTTTTTTTTGGGCTCAATAAACTGCTCAGGTTTTTTCGGCTTTGTTGCCGCTTGGTAATTATAAATTCGCCCAAGGGACTCGTATTCTAGTTAAAATGCGTCCGCTCTATAAATTTAGGCATAATAGTTGGTATGATTTTTGCTTAAGAATGTTGTTTTCTTGGTCGCCTGGTAAAAGTGAAAAATGTGTTTGATCACTTGCTGATGAGTGAGCTTTGAGAGGGCACCCTTGAAGGATATGATTTGCTGATAACTGAGCCTTGGGGGATACCGGTGCAGGATTTCACAGATCCTTGAAGATTGACCCTTGAGGGGACTCCTGTATGATGTCATTTGATGTCAATGACTTCGAATTTTGGTGGCCAAATATGACACACCAGTCATTCATTATGTTTTATTAAGAATAATGAACGTAGTGAAGACTCATATATAGGTCTCTAATAGTAGACTCTTATAAAGAATGTTTTTTCAGGAAAAAGTCGTTAAAGGCTCTAATAACTATAAATGTGCGTTCATACAATATTGATGTATTATTGAATCCACCTAGGCATTTATGCCCTTTTTGAGTTCAATTGAAGTTCATCTGCTGAAAGTGACGTAAATAGCATTCTTCAAATACGAACATGGAAATGGCGCAAAAAAAACGTGAACGATTTCTCGTTTCGAAAGTGGAATATAATTTTTAGATTTCTAGCGGATAAGAAAATTTACCTGTTGATCCAGTTTTCTCAAGTTGGTGAATGTTATCAAAAAAGTGCCAATCGTAAATCGTTATAGAAATTCAAAGAGCTAAAACGGCATCTATTTTTTCTTTGAAATTCGAAAGTTGAGATTTTTTCAACCAAGTCAGTGTTTTTTTCTATGTTTACTTGCGTTCATTACTCTTTTCCAATCTTCAATTGGCTATGTTTATCCGACTGGTTGGTCTTGGTTGAGAGTTTTATTTTCTTGGTCGCTTTGTAAGTTTCGAAATTCAATCTATGGGGTGTTATGCTTAAAAATTGACGGCTCTTTTCCTACTCCCTCCTCTCCCCCCCCCCCCCAACTTATTAGTGTAACGAGTGGTTTTACGAGGTTGAGTAAGAAGACCAAATATGTTTGTCATGGCCTTATTGGTCTGTATGTAAATTTTCATAACAATCGGACAATGTGGTCAATAAATTTACTTGTGAAAAATTGCAGGTGGGGGGAAAAGAAAAAGAGCCAAATTGACGAGGTCAGGAGATCGTTGATGAAAAGCTTCGAAGTTTTTATTTAGGTAGTGTATTTTTGGAAATGAAAAAAAATTATGTGACCAATGGAAAGCAAACTGTCCGCTCTCCGTGTCGGCAAATTAACCTCAAGCTACGATTGTATCAGTGGTGTACTTAAGGAGTTAATTGTTTGACCTCACATCACAGCAAAGGTGACTTTACTTGATCGGTGCACCTGCACTCTATAAGTGCATTTTTGACTCTACTTCGATATCTTTTAGGCTTGGTTAATGAACTCTTCTAAGAGAAGTGGGCAAATTGCACTCTCCTACGACAAAAACTAAATCTTTGCTTCCTGTTAATTTTTTATTCTAGTATATATGGAAGTCTAGTATTCGTAAGAGCGCGGTGGCCGAGTTCGCTACTGTATAGTTTAAAGTCTGCTAATGAGCAATCAGAGTCAGATATATCCACAGGGGTCGCAAGGTATTTTCTAAGGCTTATTTTCTTTTTGGGCTTGCTTTCGCTTTTTTGTTGAGTTTTGGTCGTATTTGTTGCGCGTGGTCGTATTTGTTGCTCGTGTTTGCATGGGCGGACTTATGGATGGGGGCCTACGGTAGAATTTTGCCAAAATACGGTTGAAAAAATGGAATACCGTTTAAATTTTTTCTTCGGAATTTGAAAAATATAAAGTCGGCATCTTACTTGTCCACTTTTCTCACTTTCTGTTGTTTTTATTTCGGTTTTCCTGAGCAAATTTACAATTTTTGATCGTCTGTTGGGAATGTTGAGAGATGCTCAGAGACAGGTCGTTCAAACATAATTGCAAATAACTATTTTCATAGTTTTATCGACCGATCAATTGCGATTAGTTGATGCTTTAAAGGTCTTGTGTTAAAGGAAGACCAGCAATTAATGTGATGAGATTTAGTTAAGCGGAGCATTACTGGGCAGAGGTTTACTCGGATCTGTTAGGCCAGCTGTTCTGAATTGACCATGGTCTTTTTTCGCCGCTTCCTATGGTCTGTTTTAATAGAGGTAAATTGCAGGGCCTTGTGGGTTCCATATGTGAATTTCATCTCTTCGTTAAAGTTTTGTAAACTGAGAAAACGCACGCCTGATAAAAACGCCAATACTATCGAAAAACAAAACAGAAAACTGATACTTTGTTTAGATTCTGACAGACTTTGACCGAACATTAACAAAGCATTCTTCCAATGGGATCGTCACACCTTCAACACACGGTAATACTCAAATGTACTCAAATTATTCGACTTGCTCCAAAGTTTCTACTTAAATTGTTTTTATATGATGCCTGTTTTTCAGCCGTGTTGGAAAATAGTGGACTTTTCTCAGACGAGTATAGAGACAAAGCGACAGTACTTCGTGACAAATATTACCCCTTAGAGATGGACCCAACTATAGACAGAGAGAAAAAAGAAAAACTTATGGTTGAGTGGTACGTTTCTGGTTTGTATTACTTCTTAAGAGTCTAATGACAGGTCGTGATGATGATTTTTTTGAAACTCTTTTACTCAAAGTTGTAAAAAGCAGAAGAAGCACCTAAATCTGAAACTTATCTAAAGTAGAAAGTGAAACGTACGCGAATACTACTACAATTACTACATAACCCAAGTTTATGGACACTGGTTATTTCAATAAAAATGAAATGCACTTAGGTAGATTTGCTCTTTTTCGAGTTAATTAAGTATCATCTGAAATTTAGGTTGATTGTGCTCTCCAGTTACGAAAGCAGAAATGGCGCAAGAAAAACGTGAACAACTTCTAGTTTCGAAAATGGGTTTTAATTTTCAGACTTCCCTGCGGAATAAAACTTTTACATATTTATCCATGTTTTATAAATAGGGTCAGTTTTATTTTAAAAGTGTCAATCAGAACTTGGTCTAGAATCTCATAGAGCTTTAAGGCAATCTATTTTCTTCATCGAAAGTTGAGATTTCTCAAAAAGCAAGACAGTATTTTTTGTTTATGTTCGTTTATTTACTCTTATCCAACTGTCTGTTGGATATGTTTGAAAAGATGAGAATAAAATTGTTGGCGTTCATTGACTTAATGAGTTTTTGAGTTTTATTCCAATATATTCACGGCAAATTTTGCTGTTAAGTGCATGTGGCTCGTGAAAATGTAAATGACTTCTAGTTTTTCGGCTTCATTCTTGACCAAATTTAAATTCAATGTTTCTTTTTTTTAGGTGGTCTGAAGGTCACAGGCTGCTTCTGCTTGAGAAAATCAAAAAGACTGAAGTTCAGTGTGCAGTGCGAGAGAGCAGAATGGAGTTCAGGAAGGGATTCGAGAGGTTTAGAAGAGTGCTATGTGCTCATGAAGTCCCCACATTAGTCTTTTCAGCTGGCATAGGAACTATAGTTAAAGAAGTGTTCCTTCAGAAAAGTTCACACCGGTTGGAGAGTTTGCAAATTGTGTCTAACTTCCTACATTTCAACGAACAGGTACATTCGAGTTTTTGTTGATGACTTGGGGAAGAAGAATATAAATATAAACTATGAAAATTATGGTTTCTCTGGGCTTTGAAAACATTCTTTAAACAAAAACAAAGTTTTGTTCTGATACTTTTTTACGTAATCCATTTTTTAAAAGCTCACGCCCCTTTGCGTCGTGAAAATCTTAGATCTGCGACTGCTCAGTCATTTTATATTTCGGGTTATCACTCAATTCCGAGAAGAAAACGCTGTTTTTAGTGTGAACAAATCACTATTTTTTTTACTTGCTCTAGTTTTTTGTCGCTGTAAACTGAATAATATTGTTCGGCCTTTTCTCAAAATGTTGTCATCGTCTCTAGAACTCAAGAATGTATCCCACCAAAGTTTTATTCCATTAATTGTATAACCAAATTTTGAATGCAAAAAATGCAGTCTTCGTTCAATTAATTAATCTTCGTGACAATTGTAATGTTAAAGAAAATTTTTGGCTTAATATGGTACGATTTTAACCAGAATCGTTTCGAAATTGCGGGGCTCCCTGATATTTATTAACACACCCCCTCCCTAACAATGAAAAAGCCTTCTTGGTCCAAAAAATATACTGAACCTCCCCCACCCCCGACCCTTATTATTATTTTTGACCCCCTCTCCTCATGCGAATTAAGTACCTCCTGATTAGTTCAAAAACTAGGAAGGTTAATTGTTTTTTGAGATACATGATTGTTCAGCTCTTTTCTCTTTTGCAGTCACCTCATCATTGATTTTTCTGTAATTCAATTTATACAAGCCTATTTAAAATGGCTTTTGATATTCGTGGAAGCAAAAAAAGTGTGAAAAAAAGAACAATTTTCAACCATGCAAATTGCCGTATGAACAATTGTCCAGTGTTTCCATTAACTTCTTCTTTTAGACAACTTTGTTTTAATTTTACGAGAGTATCGGAAACTGCAAAAGGGCCGATTGTTCTAGTACTTCGGATGATATTTTGAATTGATGGTTGAACTGTTTAGGGAATCACAGTAGGATTCGAGGGACCTCTTATCCACACCTTCAACAAAGGCAGATTCAGCCATCTTAACAAAGAGTACTTTGCACGCACTGCGAAGAGAAAAAACGTGATTCTGCTAGGCGACACATTAGGCGACGTGGAAATGGGGAATAATTTAGATGAGAGCAAGTTCAATGTTCTCAAGATAGGATTCCTCAACGACAAAGTTAGTACGAGTACACACTACTCATGTCTAGTTTGCCCTGAGAATCTGTCTTTCTCATTATTTGCGCTGATCGAAAGTTGTCGAAAATTGAAAGATTACAGAATTAGTGATATGGACTTAACTTGCCTAAATTTTATCAGATAAAACAAGCATTTCGAAGTGCTTGTTAAGTGAAATTTTCGGCCTGAAGTGCAGTCAGCCTGTTGACCCTTTAATTGCACAAGAAAAACAAAGTAATGTTTTTGAGGTTTTCATGCTTTATGTTCGAACAGCTGTTAAGCTGTTTGAAAAATATCACATCTATTCTAAATCTTCAGATGCTATAAACAAACAAAGCCTCCAATTGATTTGAAACTTGAATCTGATTTCAGGTTGAGCAAAACCGAGCCTTCTACCTCAAAGTGTATGACATAGTAATCGAAGACCCCGAAAACATGGAATACGTGTTCGAGCTTATCTGTGCCATTTTGAACGTAGGCGAAGACGAGAAATCACGACTGAATGAGTCATTCTCCATTCCCTCCGAGTCGAGTCCGAAGACGGTGGTAGATTTGTCCTCTCGGGCCTTGACTTGTCCTTCGGCGGTAGATGCGGAGGAACACGGGAATATAGTCGGCAATGTAACAGTTTCCCCGGCAGGTTCATTGGTGCTAAGTTCCGCCCAGTAGTCATTACTTAACAACTTGTTTACTCCTCCGTCTCTTCCGTGAGCGAAAAAACCAGCCGAATTATAAAAGAAAACAAAATGCGCAGATTATATAAACCAGCCAAAATTTACGTCATTTGAATTAAATTCTGCCAAATTTTTGCAACTTACATAATTCAGGATCAATGAACGAAGTGAAGACACTTTGGTAGTGTGTTTTTTTTTGTGAAAGTCTTAGTGTTTGTTCACGCTCATTTGTTTTCGCCGCCAGACTCTTGATTTTTCATTTGCTTAATGGAAGGCAAGTTATGCTCTCCAGTTACGAAAGTGCAAAGGGTGCAAAAAAAACGTAAATGACTTGAGTTTCGAATGTTGCTTTTAATTTTAACCGGAACAAAAATAAGCTCTCAATTAAGTCTTCTCAAATTCGGTTAGTTTATCAAATAAGAGCCGAATATAAACAATTTTTTGAAACTGGAAACAGCTTCAATGTCATTTATTTTCTTTGAAAATATTTCTCAATTAGTCAATCTCTTCTGGTTTTGTTGAGTTGATTGGCATTTTTCCAATTGTCTGTTGACAATATTTGTTAGTTTTTTTTTTGCTTAGTTTATATAATTGCTATTGTTGGCTTATATTTCGGCTGGTTCATATCTTAACCCTCCTACAGATTTCAAAATTGCTGTAAATATTCCGTTACTTTCTTCGATTCTCTCAAGAAAAACATACCAATTTTTATCAAAGTTAATCTAAATAAAAAATTATAGAATGAAGGTGGGAGGGGAAGTGGAAAAAAGTAAGAAAAAAGATGCCAATAGTAAAGATAACTAGAGGCAGTTAATGGAAACCTTATCCGATAAAATTCCCTTAGTTCTTTAATTGATCGCCATATTGAAACTCAAATCGACCTATGCTAAATGTTTTCTCGGTATAGCCAAGAAAATTTTGGCGAATTAAACATTGTCAAATATAGTTTGTTGCTATCATAACAAGAAAATAGTCTTTGATTTGTTTTGCCCAGTGTTTTTTTTGCTGTTGGGGTTTTACCCTAATTTCATTGTTAACCTAACTATATGAGAATATTTTTCAAGACTTTTTCCCGAATATATTTCAACCACTTGGATTGCTTTTCTACTTGAAATTCGATTTTACTATTTAGGGGTATTTAAGAGGAGTAGTTGAAAAAACCTGAAAACTATATGGAGGTTTGTTAACCCATTGGCAATTGACAGTTTGGCGATCAAAACCAGCGTACTTAGTGCTGCTAACTTAATTCTATTTGCAGTATTATCCACTCGCTTTGATAGTCTCAGGCCTTCACTTTATTTTTAAGAAACGTGTGTATGTATCAGCAACTTGGAAGTTGTCATTTTTCTTAGGTGTTCGGTTTTAATGTAGTTAGACCTAGAAGCAATATTTGTGGTAAATTGTGTTGTTGAATAGCAATCATTGATGTCGGTTCAAAAAATATTTTAGCAATATAATAATTTCACAGTTACAAATATACTGGTCTCAAAGAGAATTGAGTTTTGCACCCTCAAACTTTTCTTGAGATCTCGTGAGAATCACCACTCAGCAAGTTATTTAGAAAATAGAAATAGAGAAGGGCTAGCCAGTTGCAGACCACATTCACTACACTCCTGTAATTGTAGTGCGATAGTATCATGCAGCTTTTTAAAACCTAAATCGCTAATAAAAGTGCGACTTTTGTGGCCTTTTTGCTAATGTGAAACTGCTGCTTTTGGGGGCGTTTTTAAGACAGGAGACAGAATTGGCAGTATTATACCATGTGCTTTGCCATTTGATTAGTAATAATTAAACACAGTTGATGCAACTAATTAACCGAGAAAAGTTATTTGTTTCATAACAGTATAATAATTAAATTCCCGTTTCAGAAATTTGCTCGCTCGATATATTGCTTGCTTATATATTGCTCGCTCATATATTGCTCGCTCATATATTGCTCGCTCATATATTGCTCGCTTGATATAGTGCATCCGAATCTTTGCCGCTTTCTCGTTCGCGTTTGCGAAGTTGCAGCTGCGCCTCTGTGTACAAAATTACAAACCATTTTTCTTCTAACTAAGTGCTGTTTCTTGTGCAACGAACAACAAACAAAAAATGGAAAAAAGTTCTGTAGCATTTTTGCTACTAAAATTTTCATTTTTTGAGAAAAATTTTATTGCCAAGGAAGCACTAAGTGAAGCTTTCAAAAGTTTTTGCTTACTAGAATCAATTTTTCTCAGCCTAAAAGACAGGGTTGCCATCAGGCTGGCCACTTGGTCTATATCTATAGACTGGTCTATAAAGTCATTATTTGATCTATAATTTTTTGGAAGTCTATATTTTCTAGAGAACATGTAAAAGTCACTATTTACAACAAAGTTTTCTGTTTTTTAATATTTTTTAAAGGGTCCCCTCTTTGCACTGTTTTGAGATATCCGTTTTTGGTGACGGACCCTAAAATTTTTCTAAAGGCGCCATTGGCGCCAATATATACTAATATTGAGGGGGGAGCGCGCGCCGAAAAAACGCAATTTTTTATTCAAAATTATGCCTGCGGCGCAGAAATTTTGACCAAAACGGACTTTTTAGTGCTTTGGCAGAGCTTGAAAAATTAATTTGTTCGACCTAAAAAAAAGTCGACAAAAAATTTCGAAAATTGTCATAGTCACTTGAGGTCTATATATTTTTGAGAAAATAGTGGTCAGCCAGATTGCCATAACAGAAAAAAAAAATTGTTCCGAGCATAAAAAAATGAATTCAAAAAACGATTAAAATAATGAAAGGTTAACAACTGCAAACAAAAACAAGGATAGACGGCTGTTTTGCAAGTAGCACAGAATGTTGCGACCTGATTCATGAAAAAAACTAGTTTTTTTTCAAATTAGTATCGTTCTGTTGTGTGGTATGATATGAGAGCAAAGGCGTATAACGTTAGTATGTTAGGCATAATGACGATTGAAAAAAAAAAATAAAAAATTGAAAAATTTAATTTTTTGCGCAACTTATTATTTTATAAGCAACATTTTACTGCCGAGGAAGCGGTAAACGAAACTTCAATCCAATTTTTTTTCTAATATCAAATTTTCGTATCTGAAAAGTCGAAGTAAAATTTAATTTTTCATATCACGAACTTAACTCGATCGCTTTACTCACTCTCAAAATATATCACTCGGCCCACTCTGATGATTAGTTGTGGTACCTAATTTTGAGTGGAAAATAAAAAGAAAGAAAAAACTTATGCACACTCAAATACAAAGTTCGCACCGTTTTTACATGGTCGGAATGATAATTGACGAAAAAGTCACAAAACTGAGTGTAGCTGGACAAAAAATGGGTTTTTTACTCTGGTACTGTAGTTGTTTAAAGCTACACTATGAATTGTTTCAAGCTACAGTTGTTTCAAGCTGCATATTTTTTTCGAACCGATTTACTTCATTATTTCGAGGTTTATCGCTTAATTCATTGCCTCAAAACCTTGACTGAAAGATGGTTGGAGCCATCAACTATTATCCCGCACCGAAATTTATCGGATAAAAATAGTGAGATATTCTTTCCGGAAATGTTGCTATAACAATCGATAGTATGTAACCAATTTAGGCAAGATTACCTAATATAATTTAGAGAAAATGGATTATTGTTACAATTATATCGCCTTATAAGTCCATCAAAGTCTATATTTATCTCCATATAAACTCAAGGTAATATTTTTTGCTTTAAAATCTCAAGAAAATCTTTTTTTTTACCCTCTAATCTTATAAAGATCTGTTTTTGCTTCCAAAGAATCCCTGGATTATTTATTATAAAACACGATTCATTGAAAGCACGAGTTTTTGTCTATAATTGCGAGAGAAAGTTTCTTGTATACGGTCACTAACTTTTTCCCGTAATCGGTAACTGATTTTTTTCCCTTAAACAATTTGTACAAATCTGTATGAAATTGATTTTGCGTTGTCAGTGAACCTCAATAACTTGCAGATGCACTCGCACGTGGTTTGGAGATAATGTCGTTGACTCTGCAGCCTCGGTTTGGAGTCCGTCTCAGCCTGACTTGTTTTTTTTCGGGTATACAGTAAATTGAAGTTTTGTTTCCTGTTGAAATAGAATTCTCGGACTTTCATTTGTTTGCTCAACTTTTGTCGATCGACGGGCCACATCACGAAATTTTTTACAGGTAGCAATTTTCTTTTTTTTTGGGCTCAACTGGTGGCTGATCAAAGATTGTCGGCTTTGTTTCTCCCTTCGTAAGTTTCGCTCCGTTGCTTATAAGATTTTTCAAATACCTGCTTGGCATGTTTGTCTGGTCTGATTTTTACCACTTTTCATTTTTTTTCTATTGCTTTTTAGCAAGTTTTAAATCTGCAATGAAGAGCAGCAAAACTGGAGCATGGCGACTATGAATCAACAAAAAATCATCTGTAAAAGTTTCCATTTATGCTAGAAATTTTTATTATTTTTTGGGGGACATTTACTTCCAAAAGAACAAAAGCAAGTATGAATTAACTAAAAATCAGCGGCAAACAGTTCAAGCAATTAAGTATTTTTTAAAACAATCGACCTTTCTCGAACGTACTTAACCCTACCGGCACCACACTTCACACATAGTAAGTGGTGGAAAGGGGCGTTAAATAAAAACAGGTCAAAAAGACTTTTTTACGCGTTTGTTTGAAGGTTTTGATCAAAAACTTTCAACTCTTAGGTCAAATTCCTGAAAATTACATACAGGGAAAGGACGTTAATTGGCACACGTAAAAAAGAGCAGCAAAACAATTTAAGAAACTTAAAAATGAAAGGAAAACAGAAAAATTTATAGAGAAAGAAACAAATTAAGTGGCGCAAAAATGATAATGACTTTTAGTTTCAGAGTTAGATTTTTCTAGCGGCACCGTATAAATACCCTTGACCAAGTTTTCTGTGGGTTATTTTCGTTAACACAAACATAGCGTAGTGCGATAATACGTTGCTTTTTTTAATAAAAGCGCAAATAAAAGCTCTTTTTGGTGGCACTTAGCCGATGTGAAAGTGCAACTTTTGGAACATTTAAAAGGCAGGCGACAGTATTGGCATTATTATACGATATGCTTTGACATTTGATTAGTAATAAGTCAATCAATGTTTTTTTAGTTCATTGCAATCGGGCACTAGACTTTTTCCCGTAACCTTTGTCCACAGAAAGATCTCCTTTTTCAGCACGTTGCACTCTGAACTGCAGCAGTTGTCTCTCTGAACTGCAGGCAGCTTCGGCCTATATTATTTCGGGTTATTGGCCTCGTAGTATGTAGGTGTGTGTAATAAAGCTGATGGGACTTTAACAACGTTTTATCAGTTTTTAAGTCTTCTTTCTTTTTAATTTCATTTTTTTCTTGCTTTTTTTTCTCGGTTTAATAAGTTTTGGGCATATTGTATATCGACTTATTGGCCTCATGTTTTGTCGTTCAATGAGCGAAAAAAATTTGTTCGTGTGTGCATTGAAGGGACTTGGGCTTTAACACTTTTTTAAAGTCTTTTTTGATTTCATTTTTGTTTTTTCTTTCTCGCTTTGATAAGTCTTAGCCTATTTTATATCCGCTCATTGGCCTCATATTTTGTCGTTTGATGAGCGAAAAAAGTTTTTGCGTGTAATGGGGGGATATAAACTTTTCATTAGTTTTGAAGTCCTTTTTTGAATTTTTTTGGCCTAAAGGTTTTCCTCTCAGGTATTTTTGGCGTGTTTACAGCTTGGTAAGTTTTCTTCTGATTCTTTTTTTACCTTCTACTGTCTTGTCAGTTTTTGATACTTTTTTGATTCGTTTTGATAGATTTCGACATTTCTAATTTTTTCGATATAGTGGCTGTGTTATATTGTATCGCAAGTGGTGCGAAGCTCGGCTTCTCCTATGTGTGCCGAAATTCGATTCCAACAAAGATATATTTATCACGGTTTACATCCAATTTGACTTTAATTTTAATATATTACATGCCAAGTAATGTTGTTGCCTATAGCTTGTTACTTTCCAAATTGTGCAGAGAAGCTAACTGGAAATCATTAATGTCAGGGGACAGAATTAAATCTTTAGAGGTCATTTATTTTTTAAATTTCACTAGTTTTTCTTTTGAACCCCTTTAAAAGCTATTTCTTGGCGGTTTTTCGCTTGTATTTGCGAAGCGGGGTTTCGCCTCTGTTTTAAAAAAAAATGGCTCAACCATAAAAGATAAAAGTTCCAAGAGTTTTCATGCAATTTTTTGTTCAATATGCGAATGTTTAGAAATGATCAAAAAGTCAAATAAATTTTTAGGTTTTTAGTGAGTACCACAAATGAAACCTTATAGAATCAAGAGATATATCAAATTAAAACCCATTCAGGGGGTAATATGACAAAAGGGGATCATATGGCAATCTTTGGGTAAATGATTTTTTTCTGATCTACTTAGAAGTAGCCGTTTCATTTAGAATAGGCGACCTAGTATTCGTAGAAGATTGATTGGCAGATGTAAAAGCACAGTATTTAGCCTCTTTCTCGAATCGCCCTTTCGTTTATATAATAATTTCGGAACTGTTTGGATTGATGCCATTATTAAATCATCTATTCTCTTCTCAATTTCTCTTTGAGTGGTATTCACAAAGTAATATGAAAAACAGCTTCTATCGCGGAAAAGAAGTGAACCTTGCAGGTTTTGTTCTAGAATGTATGACCAAATTTTTGTCTAGTTCTGGCATTAACTGAATCCGCATCATACTTCAGTGTTATGTCGGTTCAAGCGGGAGAAACCGAAATCTGTCGGCCAGAGTTTGTCGAGTCAATTCATTGTTCATGTCTCAGTACAGACAACTACGAAGTTGAGAACTTAATATCAGACAATTATGCTAATCGGAACAGCGGCTTTGTGGCGTTCAGTTTCGTAAAACCGCCAGTGACTTTAACGTGGAATTTTAAATCGACAGTACGCATAATAAATACTGTTCGAATTGGCCTAAATGTTGGTGAACAAATATGCACCGGGCTTCAAATTTTTACGGAAACGAAACTTGAACCTCGAAATTATAGGCGTTATAATTATCAATCCGAAAAATTCAAATGGAATAAATTAGCCGACTTTGAAGCTAATGAATATTTTTATCCGACTGTTATTGTTTTTTCGAAGCTTCAATTGAACGAAGAGTTTTGTCCAGTAGCTGAAGAATTCCTCACCAGAGTACGCAAAGTGCAGATTCGAATAACTCGTGTTAAAACTTCAGGACCGCCTTGTCTATCAAGTGTGAATTTTCTTTGTCCAACTGAAATATTTGCCGATTCAAAATCACGCGACCTCATTACGCAATCAAAAAGCGGTATAGTTACAGAGCATGAAAAAACAAAAAACGGTTCTTTAGGCGATGTTTCAAAATCAGAGGATTTATTAAATGCTGATGATAATCAATTGATTTCTGGCCAACCCGTCGATAATTTAAAATTTCCAGACGAGTTCACGGATAAAATAACGCAGGAAATAATGTCGAAGCCATACTTATTACCTTCAGGGATTAACATAGACGAAAATACTCTTCACAAAATTATAGAATCAGCTCAATCCCAAGGCAGATTACCCTTTGATCCTTTTTCCTACCAGGAATTTTCGTCGGTGAATTATCCAGTTGAAAATATAGAATTGAGAGATCGAATTCGATATTTTAACAGGCAGTATAGGTTACAGAAATCAACTCTTTTACAGAACTTCGGAAAGTGAAGAAATACTTTGAGTCGCGGAATTTCCTGGTGGCTTTCAGTGAGCTTGAACATTCAAAGTCTTTAAATATTTGTGATGCATAAGGCTGGAGCTAGACGTGGATGAAATTTCATCGCCAAAACTGCAAACTTGAACTGTTTACTTTAGTTTTTAATTACTAATCTATGTATGTTTTCTTAATTGAAAGCTGACACCCGAATATCTGGTTAAATTGAATTTTTCCTTCCCGGGTGATGTTCCTAAATTTTTTTATTTCACATCGCCACAATTTTACCCAGTTGAAAGCAACAGATATGAGATTACGCTGGTGGAAGTGATTGGACCTCTAGGCATTTGAGCTTCAAATGTATCAAAAACATTGTACACTGCATGAATTCGTATGCATCAAGACATCCGTGTTTGAAAACGTGGCAGGCAAGCCAAATTGTTTGTTTTAAGTCTAACCGATGGTACAAATTAAGTTCACCAAAATACACCAATGAGGAAAGGTCATACAAACTTACAGGTCATACAAAAGTAATGAGAAAAGATCATAAAATGTATGAAGCTTACACTGAACCACTGTAAAATATCGAGGAGTTACAGTAGAAATTATCATGCAAATATACTTAAAATGCAAATGGAGCAAATATAGTTATCAGCTCAGGTTAATGGCGTGTACCTGATAATTCTATTTACAGAAAATCATTTGAGCCGAAGTAGCAAATTGATTTTGGAGTCATAACTTTTATGAACTGATAAGTTCATTGCTCGGGACTAGCTAAGTTAAGCTTTGGATTAGTAATACTTGTATTGGAGTAATTAAAATTTTAATGACAAATTAAATTTGATCAAATTCTTACCATGTCACCGACTGCTGGGTTTTTGAGCCGGGATCCGACCGATATCGAAAGTCTTCTGTCACTGAACCCAAGAGTCAAATCAACGGCTTCAGTGAAGCCAACAAAAAGCACAAAAGTTGAAAAACAACACTGGAAACGCAATGTTAATATCAACGCCGCTACTTCATGTGGGTCAAAATGTAGCTCGGATTCAATTTTGACGAACGATTTCTCCGATATTAAACATACTACTCTAAGCGAACGAGCTGCGTTGCGAGAAGCAAACCGATGTTTAAAATGTGCCGATGCGCCGTGTCAGAAAAGCTGTCCTACTCAGTTAGATATAAAATCATTTATAACTAGCATCGGTAACAAGAATTACTACGGCGCAGCCAAGTCGATTTTCTCCGATAACCCCCTCGGGTTAACGTGTGGAATGGTTTGCCCTACAAGTGATTTGTGTGTGGGTGGGTGCAATTTATACGCTTCGGAGGAAGGACCTATCAATATAGGGGGTTTGCAGCAGTTCGCGACCGAAATCCTCCAGAAACTGCGTATTCCGCAAATCGTGGCACCAGATATAGTCACGAAGACTAAAAATGACCCAAGTTATGATTCGAAAGTAGCTTTAGTTGGATGCGGTCCTGCGAGTATAAGCTGTGCCACGTTTTTGGCACGACTGGGATACCGAGACGTGACAATTTATGAACGGAACTCATATGTCGGCGGATTAAGTTCGTCTGAAATTCCTCAATATCGGCTTCCGTTTAATGTCGTGTCATATGAAGTAGAGCTCATGGAAAACATTGGTGTTAAAATTGAGTTCAACAAAAGTCTCGGAAAGGATTTTACGGTTGAAAAGTTGATGTCCGAAAATAAAGCAGTGTTTTTGGGGTTCGGACTTCCAGAACCGAAACTGATCCCAGCGTTTGACAATCTTACTGCTGAAAATGGATTTTACACCTCGAAAGATTTCTTACCACTTGTGACCCAGTCTAGTAAACCCGAAATGTGCGGTTGTAAGACACCGAAACTTCCGGTTTTGTCTGGCAGGGTAATTGTTCTCGGATGCGGCGACACTGCCTTTGATTGTGCGACGTCAGCGCTACGTTGCGGGGCCTCGAAGGTCTTGGTTGTTTTCCGTCGTGGATTCTCAAACATCCGTGCGGTGCCTGAAGAGATGCAGTTGGCGGTGGAAGAGAAGTGTGAGTTTGTCCCGTTTTTGTCTCCCAAGAGAGTGATTGTGAAGTGTGGTAAGATTATGGGCATGAAGTTCTTAAGAACTGAAGAGAATGAGAGTGGACGGTTTGTGGAGGATCCAGAGCAGGAGGCTACAATTAAGGTAAGAGTTGGAGAGTAACTTTCTAGTTTTACATGAAAGTAATAATTTTAGGGCGGTTTAATCAATCAGTTAATTTAAGACTTCGAACCTCCTCAGCTCTTGATTTTGAAACATGATAGTCATTTTATTTGGCAATAAGTACATTTTTCCTTTAATTAAGATTAAAAATGGCACAATCGATACATGTAGGTAAAAAACTTACGAACCACAAAAAGACTTTGGTTATGGGCATCTAGCTGGAAAGAACATATTTTAACAATTTAGGCCAACTATGTGATCTCGGCGTTTGGCTCTGGCCTGACGGACCCTGTGTTGAGAGATGCGATGAGTCCCCTGCCCTTCGACCAGTGGGGTCTCCCACTTGTCAATGACAAGGATATGTCCACTTCCGTACCAGGTTAGTCAGTGCATTCAAATCAATTAAATATGACCTTGAGGTATTGCTTTTTGTCGGTACATATTATAGGATATGTTCGACCATCAAATATTTATACCATAATAATTAAAAAAAGTATTCTGAATTAGCTTATGAACTGGTGTCCCAAGTGGATCGGTTGATTCTGGTAGGTTAAGAGATTGTTGAATGTGAAAAGCAACTTTCAGTTTGTTTTTAAGAATTTCAAGCATGAATAACATTTTCAATTAGCTTTTGAAATAAAACAAAGCTTTTGAAACATTTTTAATTAGCTTTTGAAATAAATGGCTAATTGCATGTGTGATTAATGAAAAGGATAATTGATTTACAAAAAAAGAAATGATTGTTACTGAGTGCGTTATGTGGCTGTATTGCAGGAGTGTTTGTGGGCGGGGATCTGGCGGGAGTGGCCAACACTACTGTGGAATCAGTCAACGATGGGAAGACGGCCGCCATGTCCATACACAAGTACATACAAGGTAAATATATTTTAAGATCTTATTAAAACAAACAGCGACTGCGTTAAATTACGAGTTTATTTTTCCAACCCGAGTCGCACAAATGAGAGAGGCTGTGAAGTGGCCAGGTTTTCGCCTCTTAGTCGAAAGGTTATACGATATAGAAAGCTCATTATGATCCGTGCTCGTTGCTCGAGGGTAAGGCTACGTTAACAGCCCAGAAAAAAAAACCAATGATAGTGCATGTAAATCTTAACCAGGTTTAAAACAGTTGTTCTACTTGAAGAGCTGAACAGCTCGTAGTTTGTTCAGGGGCGGTTCTAGGATTTTTTCGAGAGGGAGGGGGCGGTTTTTCAAAAAATTTCAAAGCAGGCTTATTATAGAAAGATTTAAGCTTGGGTATTTAATTCAAGTCAAAAAGATTTATTAATTTTCCGGTAAAAAGGCAGCTTTAAATGTATTTTAGCCACATCTTGGGTATAAAACACAAAAAAAGTTCTGAAAAAAATTTGAGCAACTCTATTTTTTTTCTTTTTCTAGTCCTTTTTTGAAGAGAAAATTTTTGGCGGAAATTAGTGCCCATTATGACTTTTCAACTATGATTATGAAATTTGCCCGAGTTTTAGGCTTTACCTCAGGTACTTTCAGCCTACCGTGCACACAAAACGACACTACTTTGAAAAAACTGAAAAACGTTTCCTAGTTTTTTTTTTCATAAATATGGTTGGCACATTCTGCGCTACTTGGACTCCACCCGAATGCAAAATATCTCCCCATTTGCAATGGCGGAAATTAAAAGATCACCTGGCTGCTGTGTAACTAATACAGACAATTCTTGCAATAGCTATCGGTGGAAAAATATGCAACATGAAGACATTTTTTGAGATTTATTTAATAATGTTTTAGTTCTGGTGAGCGTAAGCATTAGTGTGTTTACTCAAAGAAAAAATACAGAAAAAAATTTCATGAAGTTTTCTCAGTGTCGAGAAGAACTTGTTGAGTTTTTTTGGTCCTAAAAGAATCTTACTTCATATTGATTCATTAAACCTCAAATTTTGAATTAAGATACATTAGCCATTGCTAAAATAGTTGGTAGTTTGATTTAGGCTAGCTTTTAATCCTTCTCTCCGCACTCAACTAAAAACTACACAAATTTGAGAAAGAAGTGAAAAAAAAAGATCCGACACCTTAAATTCTAATTTTAAGGTGTCAGATCTTTCTGTTCGGTTTGCATAGCCAACGAATATGCTTCTTGTTCCGATCTTTGTGAGTGAATAAGAAATTTGTTTTCGAGTGTTTGTTTTTTTTTCAAACTCGTGTACAGCAAATAATCATCAGCATAGAAACGCGACAACTGTACAACTAATACCCAGAGTCGATCGAACAACAAAAAAGTCAAAAATCAGCGGCGAGAGGCTGCATTATAAAATGGAGTTCAATGCCTAGAGAAATCAGACTGGTCACATCTCGCAACTTGTTAAACACAAATCAGTACCAATTGGCAGATCGCTCGGAGCTATCAGAAATTACTTCAAATAAGTTTTTCCTTGAGCTATTTAGTAAATAATTAGATAATTGGTGACACGTTCAGTTTAAACTATATAGTTCATTGCTGGTAAATATAATCATTCCTAGACATGTTTTATTAACTAAGAGGTTATTTGAAATAAACATGTTCTTCTGAAAAAAAAAGCATTTGAAGTGCACTCCGCTCCCCTCTTTCTTCAGGAACGGATTCCTCGGCCATCTCTAGTGGTCTTCCCCAGTTCTGTTCGGCTGTGGATCTGGTGGACATCTCAGTGGACATTTGTGGCCTCCACTTGCCCAACCCCTTCGGACTGGCCAGTGCCCCTCCCACCACCACCTCCGCCATGATCAGGAGGGCATTCCAACAGGGTACGCTGAGTATTAATTCTTAATTGCTACTTCAAATGAGTCTGTATAGACTTTATACAATAGGCTGGACTGTATGAGGATCGAAATGTTAATTAACTAAGTTTTGACTCCCTGCACATATACCAAGCTGAAGATTCAAAATGAGCTAAAAGTAGACTTATTTATACTCATTGGAAGTACCCAAAATTGGCTGTTAAAGCGTCGAAACAACTAGTATGGAATAAATAAAGTTCCTTATTTATCCCTTCAAGAAGCATGAAAACGTCCGACGCGGGGAAAAACCTTTGTTTTCAGGTTGGGGTTTTGTGCTGACGAAGACGTTTGGCCTGGACAAGGACATAGTGACTAATGTGTCGCCCAGAATAGTGAGGGGCACTACATCTGGCCACATGTATGGACCTGGCCAGGGCTCATTTCTCAACATAGAACTCATCAGTGAGAAGAGTTGTGCCTACTGGTGTCAGAGGTCAGTTCATATGGTGATTAATTTGGACCATCTTTTTTCACGGAGCACGAGCAAATATACGAGCTGTTCAGCTCTTCGCAAAGAACCGCTGTTGTGCTTAACCAACTATGTGCAAACAACTCTGAGATTTGGAGTTGATATCAATTACACACATACTTGGTTAAAAGGGTGTAAGATCCAACTGGTTTTTCAGTATACGCTGTTTTTCGTTTTTTTAGTCTTCATGTGTTTTTGAAAAATTATGAAAGAAGTCAGTATAGATATTTGAATTTTCCCAACCAGTGGAATAAGAAAAGTAAATATTGATCCAGTTTTATTGAATTGGGTTGGTTTTTATGATAACGAACGTGTCTATGATAAAAATATTTCGGAATTTCACAGAGTTTTATGATGATATACTTTTTTTGTTAAAACTCTGTTTGAAAAGCATCATCTGATTAAAATAGTTTTCTTTAAAGCTGTGTGTATGTTTTTTGATGTACGATTTGTTGTGTGTAGTGTGCGTGAATTGAAGCGTGACTTCCCCTCCCAGATAGTGATTGCATCCATCATGTGTTCCTTCGACGAGGCAGATTGGACTGAGCTGGCCAAGAGGGCGGAGGAGAGTGGGGCCGATGCCCTGGAACTCAATCTTTCCTGCCCACATGGAATGGGTTAGTCACTGTACAAATTGTAGAACGTTTTGTCAAAATGGTGTCCTTTTTATACGTCACTTTTTAAAGTATTTTCGATAGGTTTTGACTAAGTCACTAGTTTTTTTCGACCAGCTGGTAACCCAGGGTACAAGTATGTTAGTTGGGTCCCTGAAAAAATCAAGTCTGCAAGACAGATCCTGCTATTTGTGAAAATAGTTTAAAAGCACTTGTAAACAGTTGCTTACTTTGCACTTTTTAATTGCCGAGACCCCCCGCAACACCTCGTACCCTGTATCCCATGATTTAATGCACTTCAGGGTCTTATCTAATTTTTGGGGAACCAAACGTTGAAAATATGCTCAATTTGGTGCCAAAAACAACACCCCCCTTTACAGGTTTTTTTACTCGCTGACCGGAAAGACTATTGTCTACAATTTGACTCAAGCTATAATTAGCTTTTGACTCCAAGATGTTTTTTTTTTCCATGAGTCTTATCTTCAGGGTCTTATCTTTCTTCAGGGTCTTATCTAATTTTTGGGGAACCAAACGTTGAAAATATGCTCAATTTGGTGCCAAAAACAACACCCCCCTTTACAGGTTTTTTTACTCGCTGACCGGAAAGACTATTGTCTACAATTTGACTCAAGCTATAATTAGCTTTTGACTCCAAGATGTTTTTTTTCCAGGAGAGAAGGGCATGGGTTTGGCTTGTGGTCAGGATCCGGAACTTGTGCAGGCCATATGTCAGTGGGTGAGGACTGCTGTGTCTATACCATTCTTCGCCAAACTCACCCCCAACGTCACCAGCATCGTCGCAATTGCCAAGGCTGCCCAGGTTCGAATCTCGACAGGCACAAAATTGATATTAATTATGCGCGTAGAATTTTCTCTAAATTGGAAGGCTAGCACATTATATCGAAGCAGTTGGAAGTGTTCAGGTCGTCAATTAAGAAAAAATTCTTGCGAAGCCTTTTTTTTTAAACATTTTCATCGATCATAGTTTGATGCGTATTTTAGAGTGGTTTTTTAAATAGCTCGCGCTAGAATGAGTTCAAATGGCAATTGGACAGTCTTGGTTATAATAGGAAATATGATATATAATTAGTGGATAGCTAATTTCATAGCTAAGCTTGAATTTAGCATGACAATCCAAGTAACAACCCTGGTTGTTACTTAGATGTTACATGACAACCCTGGTATTCTAAGATTAGTCCACTTGTTTCTAGCGTACCTCGCAACTTTCTTAGTGTTTGTCTAAGGCGTAGCAGAAAGTGGTTTCGACCCCCCCCCCCCCCCCCCTCCTTCTCCTCCCATCTGTGCTTGTTGAGCTGTTTGTGTTTTTTATTCGTTTTTTTGCGTATGTTTGTTGTGAAGTGCAGCTCATCTTTGTTTTAATTTTTATGTTTGCTTGCTAGCTATTTCCCCCTTATGATACCTTGTAACGAATTTTCCAGCTCCTCTTCCTTGCAATATGGGTGGGGGGGATAGTTGACAAGATCCTTGTTGTAGGATGGAGGGGCCGATGGGGTGACTGCGACCAACACAGTGTCTGGCCTGATGGGTCTGGATGCGGGAGGCAGTGCATGGCCCAAAGTGGGCATTCAGCAGAGAACCACTTACGGAGGAGTTTCCGGTAGGAAAGCATAGCATCCGTGTAGATTCCTTTCCTGCTAAATGACTCAGGTCTTTTTAAAATATCACAAGTTAAAATGTGTTAAAAGTTAAATAATGATAACAAGTTGAATATATACGTCGAAAATACAATCAGTTGGAAAATCTTTTTAGTTGTGGTTTCTGCGAAACGCAGAGGATCTATGAAAGGCTATTCAGCCTGTCTAAGCATAGTCCGTTTCTATTATTTCCCCACATTCCAGACTGAGTTATTTTGTTGAGCGAAGCTCTTTTTGTTGCGACTCAATGCCGTTTTTTTGCTTTTAAAACTTTCACGTGGTACCACTATTGCAGCCGTAATCGATCAGGCTGTGGCACACCTGAAGCTAGAGGTCAAGTGAGAGCTCGTCCTCACACACTATAATTGCCATGGCAGGGGATCGATTACACGATCTGACGATCATCTTGAAGTGATCACCTTCCTACTATGCTAAGTGCCTCCCTGAATCTAAATCGAACCTGAATCTAAATCCTTCACCGCTCGGAATGGAAATCGGAACTTTTTTTACTACATTTTTGTCATACTGGACCTAATAGTTTTCTTTCGCCTTCGACGCCATCATTTACTAGACTTTGATGAGGAAACTTGGGCTGAAAATAATCTCTCTTGATCAATGCCATTCAAAGTGACACGCGAACGCCATTTTTGGCCTGTCGATAGTCTTTCAAGTGTGCTACCAAAGTCTATTTTTTGCTCGAAAATTCCTTGGTTGATTTAAAAAAAGAGTATCCCCCTTTTGACTGCTAGTTAGTTTTCGTGGATTTTCATTTTTGTAATTCTAGGCAATGCAATTCGTCCGATTGCGTTGAAGGCGGTGTCTGCAATCAGCAAAGCACTCCCTGGCTACCCTGTGTTAGCTACTGGGGGAATAGACTCAGCCGAGGTGGCACTCCAGTTCATTCACGCGGGCGCAGCTGCAGTCCAAATATGCAGCGCTGTCCAGGTGAGTACTATTTAACTCCAGGTTAACCATCTTTTTATATAAAATTATCTTGGCGATCTAGACAAATTTACCGCCAGAGACTGAAATGGAAATAACTGATCGAGGAAAAATCTAATTGTTAATACTTTCTCATTTTTCTTTCAATTTTTTTGCTCTCCCAAAAACTGAACTACTCTTTTTAAATAAAGCTGTAATAGCTCATACTAATCAAACATTTTGGTGTATTCTAATTTACTCTAATGCCAACTGTTTGTAGAACCAGGACTTCACACTGATCGACGACTACTGTTCTGGACTTCGGACCCTGCTGTACCTAAAGAGTCTGGATTTGGACTCCCTCGGATGGAATGGACAGAGTCCCCCCACCCCCAAGCACCAATTGGGAAAGACTGTCAAGCTACAGAACACAGGTGCCTTTTATTCTTATAGACAATCTTTGCAAAGATCCACGTAGCTTGCGTTTAAAATTATCATAATGTATTCGATCGAAATTGTCTAAATCGCGTAAAATAATGGTCACTGAAAAAACTATTTGAAGATTTCGTTATTTAGACGTTTTTCCTCGTTGCTAAAAAGAGCATAACTAAATATTCAGGTGTCAATAATTGATAAAACTGCAACGAGATTTTTTCGTTATGTTTACCTTAAATTGCCACGTATATTTTCGACTAGTTGACTAATAAATTAAAATATAAAAATTAGAAAATTAATTGTTTTTATCAATATTATCAACAGTCTTCAGTATTCATTTCGATTGCAATGTTCATGCTTTTTACTCTGTGATCAGCAAGTGATATCAGGGTTACTATCACGGCTATTGGCTTTATATCCTGTAAACAACTCGTCTAACAGAAACAGACATAGTTGTCAAAGAGCCTGTAGATTGAGTTTTTTTTTACAAAAATGTTAGACTTTTTTCCGGCTCAAAGAATATAGCCTTTTATTTCTTTCGATTTGGTTCACTGAGAGTTTTTTTGTTGTTCCGATTATTTGAAAATTGAGGAGGAAATTAGTATTCGGGTGTGTGTAGTTTCTTTTCTTGTTTTTCACGCAAAATCAGGTACCACAAATAATCATCTGAATGGGTCGAGTGATATACCAAATTCAAGCCTTTTGAGTCGTGAATCGACCGACATTAAAAATTTCTAAAAGTTTTTGCACAGTTATCGAAAGAAAACCGTTTGAAATTATTGATTTCTTTTCTATTTCGAGCGAATAAATCGAGCGGACCAGGCTTACAGCAGCTTATTTATGCTTAATTTAAATCTTGAAAACTCAATTTTAAGCAAATAAATTTAGTGTTTCGAGTTTATTAGCGCCTTTTTGGGAACCAAAAACTTTAAAAAAATTTTCTGCAAAAAGTTTGAAAAGACAAATTTCGAATTTTTGAAAGTTGTTTTTATAAATGTTTTTCTACTCAGTTTTCCACAAATGTTTTGTCCAATTTGCTCTTTTTAACTTACTATGACTGACGATGATGCCTAAATTATAGTTTTACATCAGATCCTTTTATCAAATCACGCAGAAAAAATTACCCTAATTTTAAGAAAAAATGAAGTTTTTTTGAAGACTATGGTCGGAACATTCTGTGCTACTTGCACAGTAACTAGGTATCCTTGTTTTTCTTTTGATTTAGTGTGTTATGTGCTCTTTCTGTTCAATAACCAGCGCCCATTGAGATCAGTTATTGTCTCTTGTGAAAGTTTTGCTAAATCTAATTCTCAAAATTTTTAAGTGTCAATTAAGAAATTAAGGTGTTGATTTTTTAACGGTTCTTTTTCAGGATAAAATTAAATTAATAATTGTTAGGCTCAAATTTAATTCATGCGAACAAACGAATGACTCTGAGAATAAACGTGAATAACTTTCATTTTCGAGCGTAAAAAAGTCTAATATTGTTGGCAATATTGCTGCCTATTATTGGCAGTTTAATTGTAATCACCTCTCGCAGCTTTGTCTCAAATTGAGTTAGTTTTACGGAAAAGATATCAATCATTAAAAATTCCTGATTTTTAAAGAGCTGTAATGTGGTATAACTTTTATCGTCGAAATTAGAGAGATATGTAAAATCAACTCAATCGTTCGTTTTTAGTTCTATTTGGTTCATTTATTTTTTTTTGATTTTCTCATGGCTATCATTTTTTTTGTCATTTTCATCTCTAGGTTTGTTTCGTGATAGGCCACTTAAAGCTAGTTAAGTATTTGTAATTTAGTTTTGATCTCTGATTTTGGTTGTTGTTTTTTATTGTTTTTCTTCGCTTAATTGGTTTAGGCCTATATTGTATAGCCTTAGCTATCTTTTATTTCGTCATTTGAAGAGATTTGTTTTTGCTTTCATACGTTTCAAGAGCGATTGTTATAAAGGGGGTGGGGCGTCTATGAGTTTTTAAATAAAGTGTTTCCAACATTTTATGAGAAAATTGATTTTTTTTAAAAATTTTTACAGATTTTGACAACAATGTTTTTTGGAATTTTTGGCTCAACGGGCTTCTAACCATATCTTATCGGCTAAGTGGCCGTTACGTATATGCTAGTGATTGCTTGTTTAATGCTGTTGGTTGCGTTTCTCGACTGTGTTCTACTGAAATTTTTGTAGATTTTTTTCATTCAAGATTAATATTTCTAGTTATGGTTTTCCATCTCTTTTTCTATTCGCTAGCTTGAAATGCTAAGCTTGCGTTGTATCGGAAGTTTTGCGAAGCACTGCCATGCCTCTGTGTTTGAATGACTTTCGTTTACCATTTTTACAGGCTCTGAAAGCTGTCTTTTTGTTTCCGATATTTTTTGGTATCAGAAGGAAAAAGTTTTAAATATAAGAATTGAAGTTAAAGCTCATAAAGAAAGTCAAAAAGTTGGTATCATTTCAACGGAAAATTGACTAATGATGATCCGGTTTTCGAAATTCCGAAACTGTAAAAAATTAGGTATAAGTTTTTCTCGAATTTTTTTGAACCATTTTCGAAAGGTAATCCTGTTTCCTATTTTTGTCATTGAAAAGCTGCGTTCTTTCTAGAAACTCACTTTCAGTGCCTTAACGTTCTCTCGAAGTTTACTGTTTTCTGGAGACGCTGTTTACTTTTTGCTTCAAGAGTAGTAGTTTTTGTTTTCATTTCTGCATCGCGAAGCTCAATTTTTTTAGTGTATAGTTTTCATGCGTCATAAATTTGACCTCATTATATCTGATCCGATGAAATTTGATTGTACTCCAATATTGGCAATTTCTCTTTATTACACTAATTTAAACTTTGATTCAATTCTTCTTTATTGTGTTTTCAGGTCTCCCTTCGTTCGGAACTTATTTGGTGGACAAGAAATTGCGAGAGGCTAAACTCAAGAAAGAAACAGCTGCCAATAAAGATACAGTTACTGAAACTACTAAAAGGCAACTGCTGTCTCCGAAGCAAGTGAGAGGAGTGCCTAGAGTCAATGATTTGATCGGAAAAGCTCTGGACCGAATCGGAAACTGGTGAGCTTGTCTACTTTTTTAAGAGTAATGAACGTAGTGAGTAATCTTAATTGGCGATTTTTTTTTCTTGTTTCAGGAAAAAAATCTGGTGATATATTACACTAGGTGGTAATTTTGAGTATAGTGCATGTATTAAATTTGAGAACTATAATGCATAAAATAGTCATTTTTAATTAATATTTCATTTTCAATCACTTGTACTAAGACTAAGTTAGTTTTTCTATAACATTACTCTGCCAAATGAAATGCTATTCAAAATTTCACATTTACACATCTTTTGCCTAGAAATTTTGCCTTGAAATAATTTTCAAATAATGTGTGAAGTAGAAAAAAAAGCGATGCAGTTATTGAAATTGATCCTACCACCTATTGTAATATATCACCAAAAATCTTAACTTTTTTCACCCTCAAATTTGATGCTTAGCGGTTTGACATTTGAATTTTTTTTTTCAGTTCACTTCATTTTTTTTGTTAAAAGGAAGGCAAACTTCGCTATCGAACAGCAAAAATGTAAATGTCATGAAAAATGTGATCGACTTCTAAAGAATTTCGAAAATGGAAATTGATTATCAGATTTCCCAGAGAAATTAAAGTTTTACCTATTGATGCAGTTCTCAAATTTCGCTAATTTTTCTTGAACTTCAAAGAGCTTTAACGCTATAGTTTTTACTTTGAAAGTCGAAGTTTTCTTCTTTTTTTTCAAAAAATCAGCCCATTTTTTTTCGAGTTCCTTAGGTTGATTGACACTTTTCCAACTGTCGCGTGGCTTTGTTGATCACAATAAATTGTATTGTAGGTACGAATTGAGTAGTAAGGAGCAGGTGGTGGCCCTGATAGACGAAGACATGTGCATCAATTGTGGCAAGTGCTACATGGCCTGCAACGACTCTGGCTACCAGGCCATCTCTTTCGACCCCCAAACACACCTGCCCAAGGTCAGTTAGATTGATTAAAATCAACGAGTTGGCATAGATTATGGTGTTGGAACATTATAACCAAAAAATCACGTTTTTTCGGCGCGCGCTCCCCCTCACAATTATTAGATATTGGCGCCAAAAGCGCCCCTTGAAAGTTTTTAGGGTCGGTCCGCCAAAAATGGATATCTCAAAATAGTACAAAGGGGACCGTTTGAGTCGACAGGGGGTCGAATCCCTGAGGGGGGCGTCCTCCCCCACTCACCCCTAAACCCGCCCCTGGTTTTTATTTAAGATTTTACAGCGATAAAAAAAATTATGTACTGATCCATTTTTCTCAAATCGGTTAATTTTATTGATTTTTCGAATAAATTTCGAATCTCACAGGCAGACGATTTTTTGCTAATTCGAGGATTATTTCGAATTTAGATTTTTTCCTTTTTCCTCACCTGTAAATTTTTACTAGTGAAATTTTGTTTACTTTATCCGAATGTTACAAAAATTGGCATGCGAACTAATAAGGCCATGACAAACTTATTTGGTCTTCATGTTTAATTTTGTAAATCCCCTCGTTACACCATAAAATTGATGCTTATGTGAGGAAAAGGGTTCCCAAGCTTATCACCCCGTGTTTTGTAGCCCCCTTTTTCTTAACCCCCTCTCATATAACCCCGAAATTAGATAACCCCACTACAATTTAACCTCTTTTTAAAACCAATTGTTAGAATCAAAGTGAAACTTACTTGAAAAGGATTCGGAACCATATCGTCGGTAAACATCAAAGCTTTAATTGCGAAAAATTTTGCGAACCAAAATGAGATAACATGCACGCTGCTAAATGCGTTTTAGATTTGAACAGAATTGACCTTGCCGATAGTCTAGACTTTGATATGAACTTGAAAACGAATCCGACCGACATGATTCAATTTGGTGCATATACAAAACAGTCCCATACAAAAGGTCCGAAATCAAAAAAGGGTTCTTAAAACAGTCCCATACAAAACATTCCAAAACCATTTGAATTTCTTGACTTTGATCTTTGGCGCCGACAGAATTGATCTACGCTTTGAAAACTCAAACATGGGCGTAATTAAAGATCAAAGAGCCAAATTTGGAGCAATAATTCGGATGACAACTAAAGGCCTCATGGTATAGTGGTTAAAGCGTTAGTCTCGAAATCTAGAGATCAAAGGATCGAATCCCTGGCGGCACAAAATTTTTTCCAATTTTTCAAAAAAAAAAGTTGAATTTCGGGTAAATATGATAACGGGTATATCAAGGGTACAAGATGGGTTAACCTTAGAGGGTTGGGCGGAGGGAAAAGAAACATCAACACCTTGTATGTCTTCTTTATTTTGCCGGTTTCAAATCGACTCTAGCTCAATTTTGAAAAATCAAGGCAAATAATTAAACTTGGAAAAAATTTTGTTGCTTGGCAATGTAGAATAAATAGCAAATATTTAACTCAAGTTCGCCTTAGCGCGAAAGAAATGCAAATCTGTTTTTTCTTCGTAAACATGCATAATACTTTGCACTTTTTCGTTGAGCACCCGGTATTTTTTTCTTTTTTGTAAATTGGTGCCCACTCGAGGCGTTATAGAAATTAATTTTTTGGACGGAAGCGTCTTTTTGCAAATTTGCAATCACTTTCCATATACTGGGATGCGATCCACTGAAGTATGACTGTATGCCATAATGCCAGCCCTCTAGAGCATTTGTTGTTCTGGCCAAACCCGATGATGCCACATCCCTTTGATTCCATAATGAAGGGGGGAATAGGGCTTCCCGATTCGGGACGAGACTTTTCATGTAGTTAGATCCAAAATAAAGGCAAAGCTCGTCAACTTTCGCTATTTTTTCCGACTCTTTTATGGTGCGATCGCAAACTATTTGAATTTCCTTCACTATTTTATCGTAGGAATTTCCTATTTCTTCTTTTTCAAAAGCCAGTGCTGGTGGTTTGTTTCGTAATCCTTTTTCAATCCGAGCTCCGCGATTTTTCTCATAAAACTTTGTGAAAGATGGAAGAAACATCCCGACAGCTTGGTCTCGGGAAAATTTTTCTGAAACGCTTGAATAGCGGCCTGCTCAAAATCCAGTAAAATTTTTTCAGGTCTACTATCAGGGGCTACTATTTTTAGGGCTTCTAAGAAACGGTGGTAAGTTTTTGTTTTGTTTGGCAGGAACGCATAAATGCAAGCAGGGGCTATTCCTGAAAGACTAACGTGTATGGAGTAAAGTTGATAAACTGTTTTCGGGGTGAATTTAAAAGTTCCATCAGCCAACCAAAAATTGAATGTTTCAAGCACACGTAGCATTTCAGGGTCGCCGATTAAAATAATCCTCTCGTGATCGTTTTGCCCACTGTCAAATCTTGTAAAATTTTTGAAAAGTTCGGGTATTTCGAAACTTCTGGTTGCTGGGGAGACTGGTAAGACTTCTCGCTGCTTGCGCGCTCGTTGTGCGGTGCGATCTAAATTTTCTTTGGATGGTAGGGCTAGTTGAGTGGCAATGTAGTCTGTAATGGGCTGAATGGCGGTTCCGACTGCGACCGTTGGGGTGTTACTATCGCTTAGATCCTTGATGTTTTTTTTTCAAAACTAGTCGAGCATCAGGTTTGCCCGTGGAAATATCGTGATTATGTTGACCCCTCGTTTCAATAAAGTTTTCTCCATCCGTAATTGCCGTTGCGCGGCGTTTATGGGTTTGATACTTTGAGCAGTTCCAATTTGTTGTTGTCTTGTTTTTGCGTTTAAAGTAATACTCGTGGCCTGATACCACTAGCATTTGTTTGTCTTTCGAAGATAAAGTAAAATGGAATGACGCTTCAAACATTATCTGATCTGATAGAGTGGTATAACAATGGTTAAAGAAACAGGCAGTATGATTTTTTTTTTTATAAAACTCACAAACGTCTTTTGTTGCCTTCAATTAGCACCATGTAGGTTATCTCTGTTTTAAACGCGTGAGTGAGGGGTTATTTCTCTAACTAATTGAAATGCAATTATTTTTGAGATCCTAGAGGCATCAAGTGAATTAGGACTAGCTTTTCAGGCCTCAATTAGTAAATTTAATTGGACTACTCCTGTACTTATAAAAAGGACTTAATTGAAACAAATTATCGTCATTAAATGGGGGTTAAATTGTTGTGGGGTTATCATGTTACGGGGTTATAATCTAGGGGGTGTAAACAGAGGGGGTTTAACATCATAGGGTTAAAGAGTGGGACACCAGGAAAAAGAAAGAGTCCTAAGTTTTGTTATTGCTCTTTATAGAGCTGCTTTTTGTCGTGTTCTCGCAAGTGTTTGGGAATCGAAGCTTCGCCTCTCTGTCTAAAAATTCAAAGAGTCATTTTTTTCGTTGAAATTTGAAAGAAGAGGTTTTCAAAAGACAAGTCAGTCATTTCTTTCAGTTTGCTTGCGCTCATTGACACTTTTCCAACTGCATGTTGGCTATGTTTGTCTACCAAATGGAAATCATTTTTGGGGTTAATGGAGCTAATTAAACATTTCGGGGGGGGGGGGGGGGTGAATTGAGCTAGTTAGAGCTTTTCAACTTTTTTGAGTAAATTTTAAAAGAGATTTTTGGTCAATTTTAAAAGATTTTTTGGGTCAATTTAAAAGATATAACTATTTTTAGGTGACCGATGACTGCACCGGCTGTACCCTATGCGTGAGTGTATGTCCAATCATAGACTGCATCACCATGGTCCATAGAGAGGGGCCATACATTCCCAAGAGAGGAGTGCCCATACAAGACCACACAAATGACCACGAACAGCGACAGGTGTCGAATGGAGTAAAAACCAGCGTGGAAAATGGAGTGGTCAAATTAGCCGAATGTCAGTAGATCGAATTTATGATCTGGAATTACTAGATAAATTCTAATGTATTACTAGATTCAGCTAGAGTTAACCATATTTTTGTTCGCCAAAACTTTGTTTCAAGCTGATATAGCTTGGAGACTATTATTAGCGATGACTTCATTAATGATGAATTGGTTTATTATTTGGTTACTTAATTAAAATGAATTTGGCTATTCTATTCTGACTGATCATGCAACAGATCAATCAATGTATTCAATCTAGATGCGATTTAGTAATTAGTTGATGGTTGTCTGATTTAATCGCTGCGTTCTATGTTATTAACTGAATATCCAATTTGCTTAAATATTTAATTTCAATATATAATGTGTTTTTGTGTTAAGTGTGGTGTACATTGCTGATTTAAATTATTCGGACAAAACGATCAAAACTTGAGAAAAATGCGTTTTGAGTTTAAAGTTTTTCAAGATTTTTGTCTGGATAATTTAATCTGAGCTGTAGTTTCATTTTTTATCTTTCAGAGGACAAATTCTTTTCGACATTTTTTCATCGGCCTCGCTCTTTTATTTGCCAGCTAGTTTCTCAATGAAATTAACACTTCTAAAAAAATTGATAACTTTACACGTAACAGGTTTTGATTTACGTGACCTGGTTTGGCATTTATTTTAACATATACGCTTGATACTTTGGGCATTTTAGATCGTACGATTTGGCTGTCGCAATTTTCAGTCGAGATATTTTTTTCAGATTTGATTTCTGCTGAAATGTCAGGAGATAACTCAGCTTCATCGCTTTCTGTATGTTTGCCTTCATTGCCTCTGGAGAAACGACAAATTGCGCTGCCAAGCAACGGGTCCAAAAAACCCGCAATGCATCACGACTGGGTTTCAAGCATCAATTTTCTAACATACTGTGCTCCGAACTCAAAGCAAATTGAATTTATGGCAGCGGATCAGATTGAAAAGCGACTAGACTGCATGATAAGCGACGTTGAGTCTATTTTAAGGCTTCCTCATCATAAGTTTTGGTCTCAAGTTTACTTTGACGCGACTTTCAAAGCTTTTCTTAAATCATTTCTGACAAATTTTCCCAAATGTTGGGATGAGGATTCAGAAAGCAGTGAACAAATTACTACCAAACAGATGTCGCTGAAACAAAAAGTGTTTTTGGTTTGCGTTAGGTTGTCTACATATAAGGAATCGAATGAAGGTTTCATGAGCCCTGATTATTTTGGACAATTGCATGTTCAAGCTGGCTGGTTTGCGCCAAAAGAAATGGCCAATTTTTGCAGTATTTATTACCAGCAATCAGTTTTACTATCAAAAATATGCGAAAGCATAGTAACAAACAGCCGCGAAGATTTCAAATTGAAGTTTTGGAATTATTCTGCTGGAATAATTGGAGCGATTCAGTCAATCAAAAGAGCGTGTGGTTTGAACTTGCTTGACCCTAATGACCTGTCAACTGAGTTTAACCCGGCAGCGGGGCTTGACCTTTACGCCCTTTTTCGCATGGCTGATCTATCATTAGAACTGACCTCTAACCTTTATGCGTTTTCGGACACGGTCGATTTGGTTCTTGAGTTAGTAGCGACTAAACACGAGAGTTGTAGTCTTTTGGACGAATTGTTGAGTTTTGTCGAAAATGTTGTGAAATCTTTAATGTGGACTGTTTTACAAATCGAAGATCATCAAATAAAATCGACTTTGATACAAAACTTGAAGCTAGCTGCATCAAATGTTATTTCGATTACAAAACTTGTGGTTGAAAAATTTAGACTAGCAAATTTGACTATCGAAAACTTTCAAGATACCATTGAGTTTTTCGACACATTATTAGATTTAGAATGGACGCGAAGTTGTTTTGACATTGACACATTAATTCATGACAGTGTTGCACAGCTGACAATTTTTTCGTCCAAGAAGGAAAATAGAGACAAAGTTAGCATGTCGAATTTGATTCAATTACAGTCAAGGTTAAACGAAGAAATACCCACGGAAAAATTATCCGCAACGATAGCCCAAAATAAGCAGCCTTCGACATCGCAAAATTTTGATTCAAATCAAAGCAGTGAAGCCTCAAAATTGCTCGAAGCTTTGAAAAAAGTTAAGGAAATCATTACAGATGTCGATGATATTATAATTGAGTTCTACCTTGAAAAACGAAATCTATCTGTAGATCTGACAATCAACGATTTGTTTGAAAATAATTGCGAATTACCGGCTGGTGTTTCAAGGCGTTATTTAGAAGCCCAGAAAAGTTCAACTAATTCTAGCCTTAAAACTATTTCTAAAAAATCAGACGAGTTTTCAAGCGACATGCAACACGACATTGTTTCTAAGTACGGCTTCGTTGAAGATTTTGAGTTTGATTCAGTTCAAAAAAGCTCAAATAAGCGTGAACAAATTTCTCTTCACCAAATCCGCGAATCAGAAGAAGCGAATGCTTTTGAATACGATGATGAATACGACGACACGTACGATAACTCAATGCCAGTTGCCGATTCCTTTGACAATAAAGAGTTTCAGTTCCAAGTTAAAAATCCGAACTGGGGTTCCAGAAACTGGATTACAGGCGGCGGGCCTCGAAAGGCTGCCTGGGATTTTGAGGACGATGAAGATGAAGAAGATGAGTTAAGCACCGGTCCTGATAAAGATGACAATAACCAAATTAATCATCAAAATGCTCTGTCGGGTAATTCTCGAAATAGTTTTTCAAGAGGTGGTAAAGTGGGACCAGGTAGCAGGAATAATCTGCAACAATCAGGGAAAGATAAAGATGTGCCAAAAGAAACCTTCGCAAGTCAGCCTAAAAGTAGAAAGAGTCATCGACACACGGGTGGGATCCTAGATGAAGAGATGGCCCGAACCGGTAACGAAGCCAATTCGAGTTTGAATCCGGAGAGTCAGAGCTTTGGAGGAGCTAGACCGAAACAGAAGTCGTATCAGACGAAAGATTATCAGCAGAGAGATGGAGCTTCGGGTAGTAGTAGCGGGGGAACAGGAGGTGCTCGGCGGGTGGACTCGGGGAAGTCGAGAGGAAACAGAAATGGTACCTCTTATGTCGAATCAGGTAAGATGAGATAAGAACGCAAATAAATATATTTTTCTTCGATGAAAAATTTTTTCGGCTGCTTGAAAATAGTTTTTAAATAGTTTTCCAAAGGTATCCCGCGGAACTCATGATCATCTTTTGGTGTCAAATATCCAAAAACTGCCCAAAAATTAAATGGTCATAACATAAGAGGAAAAGGGAAAATTGAGGAAGACATGCCTAATTTTGTGAATAATTTATATATTTTGTGACCCTTGATGGGGAAATTCAAAGTTGCTTGTACATACAGTTACATTTTTTTACAGTATGATAAGATTTCTCATGGATCGAGGATATTTTTTTATGAAATATTTTCAGGAATGAACTTAAATCCTCCTGGATTCGAACCCTCGACTGAAGATAGAGAAAACCGTAATATCGACCAGCCAGAATTGTCGAATAATATCAACCAGGAAAGGGAAGAAGCTCCACGCAAGCCGATGGGAAGAGGGAGAGGATACCCTAAAACGAAAGCGGAACAATCTCAAGCGAAGACTCATTATAGAAAAGCAATGGCCGCCAAAAAGAATAACTTTAACGCGCCAGGATTTTTTTGAAAATGAATTCTGAAATCTTAGAAATGTAAATTATTGAGAAATTGATAATTATAAGCTTTATATTTAGTTTTATTTGAAAGGCTTGGAGAGGTTTTTCCGTGCGTATCTTTTTTAGTTTTTTTTTGTTTTTCTGTTGGAGCCATATGGTTTTTAGAGTGGCAATTTACGAAGTGCATCTATCTATCTATCTATCTATCTATCTATCTATCTATCTATCTATCTATATATCTATCTATATGTCTATCTATCTATCTATCTATCTATCTATCTATCTATCTTTCTATCTATCTATCTATCTATCTATCTATATATCTATCTTTCTATCTATCTATCTATATATCTATCTATCTATCTATCTAAATATCTATCTATCTATCTATCTATATATCTATCTATCTTTCAATCTATCTTTCTGTCTATCTATCTGTCTTTCTATCTATATTAATATCTAGACATTATTTATTTTGCATTTCACTTGACACATAATTAAGAAGTCCTTTCGCTGAAATGTTTAATACAATGCGATGGTTCGCATTGTTTAACATGTTCTATCGAATTCAACGTTTTTGGTTTCCAAGGTCATCTTTTATTTTAACTGCGTATTTGTTGAAGCGTGAATGCTTTAACTCTACAGTTTCTCCCCATTTCGCAATGCAAACGTCTAAAGTTTTTTGTTTCAGTGTTTATTTTACATAATTTTAATTTTCAACCCTATAGGGGTGCGCTAGCAGGGTACATTCAGGTTTTGTCCAAATAGCAATGCTCATATCGGTCTGATTTTCGAGATCTGGCTTTTTTTAAATGATTTTTCCAATTTGTTTTTATTTGTATTTGAAAAAAACTAAGAACTTGAAACTCTCAACCCTATAATGGGGTGCTCTCAGGGTACACTATGGAGTTGCATTTCTGACCTCTAAATATAACTGCTCAAATCTCTTTGGTTTTGGAGATATTACGTTTTTAAAACACACTAAAAACAAGAAAATCTGAATTCTATGGTGGGGTGATCTCAGGATAAATTATGGAGCTGGATTTCTGGAGTTGCTTTTCTGGATATTAAAAAAGATATAAAAAAAACTAACAGAACCTTAAAGTCTTAACCCTATGGTGTGGTGCTTTCAGGGTACACTCAGGGATTGCAAATATTTCCTACAAATATGACTACTCAAAGCTTTTCAAGAGAAGAGATATGGTGTATTTTATGATTTTATACAATTTTTGTTTAAAAAACAGATTTTAAAAAAGTCAGATGTTAAAAACAAAAAAATAAGAATTTTTCAACCATGTAATGTGGTGCTGTCATGGATCTCATAGAGCTTGCAAGTTTGGCTTCTAGTTTAGCTTTTGAATTTTGGTTTCCGAGATATGATATGTTCAATAATATGTTAAAAGAACAGAGTCAGGAGTATTCTGTCGGTGTTTAAGGGTTATTTGAAGTATCACAAAACTGATAAAACTCAGTAATTTTGGAGATATGACCATATGAGTGAAAAATGGCCTAAAAGATAACTTATAAAAATTTTCAATTAATGAAATGGAAGAACCTGATGGATTGGTCCAATTCATATTTACGGTTGTAATAAATTTTCGTTTCTTGTAAATATTTTAGGAAGCCTTTTTCACGTTCAACAATCTATTCGAAGGACCGTAGGTGCTAGTCATGCGCTGGTTTTCTTTTATTAAGGTTTTGGGGTTCTTTTAGTGATGGGCTTTCGCTGGGTTTGGTTTTTCATACGGTTGTTTCTCCTATGGAGTTTTGTGACCAGCATTTTTGAAAAATTCGGCTTTCTTTATTTTTTTTTCGAAAAGTTCAGAAGATGGAGATTTTTAGCCAAATCCCTCTGCAGTGATCGCTTATATCTTAAACATCCGCTGTCAACATACGTTCGGGATTCAGTTTTTTCACTGGTTTTCAAACAAAATAATTTTTGTGCCCACTATGAGTTTAATATTTCACTGCGACGGGGCCGTGATTTATGCGTAAAGTCAAACCCATGTAGTTCCGCGACCAATAATCCATAGTCTGAACAGGGTTCCGTAGAGGATCACAGAGTCTAATTATACCAGGTCATTGTCGTCATAATCTAAAATTGGGGCGTGACAGCCTAGAAATGAGCTGCCAAAGGTAGTTAATTAATTGTTAAAACTTAAAATATGACGTAATTTTGTAATTTGTAATTTGAAAATATGTCGGTGTGTATTTTAGGAGCCGATAGTTAGGACATAAAGTGTTAACACAAAGTTCTAGAAAATCAAATCGGCGGAAAATCATCAAATATTTTACAAAGCAAAAGAAATCACCTAATACCTCACAAGGCAGAAAAATCATCAAATGAAGTACAAAAAAGTTATCAAATACCGTTTTCATATCAAAAATTTTTGATGACTTTTTGCGCGATTGAAAGTATCGACAACCTGTGTTCAATATTGACAATCAGATGAACATAATGAAGACTCTTTCATATAATTCAAGATTATTTTAGTTTTTTTTTCTGGAAAAGTATTAAAATGTGTTCACGCCCAAGTTTTTTTATACTGCAGTTTATTTCATTTGTTAAAAGGAGGGCAAATGCAACTATTGAACAGCGAATAAATAGATTTCACAAAAACATGATCGAATTCTAGTTTTGACTGTGGATTTTAATTTTAAGATAGATTTCCCGGAGGACTAAAAAATTTACCCATTGTTCAAGTTTTGTCAATTTGCGTTAAAGTTTTGATTGAAAGGTATCCGTCATTAATAGTTCATAAAAATCGAAAAAATTTTAAGCCATATAATTTAATTTTTTTATTATGAAAGTTGAAGTCAGACAGACTTCAACTTTCATAATAAAAAAATTAAATTATATGGCTTAAAATTTTTTCGATTTTTATGAACTATTAATGACGGATACCTTTCAATCAAAACTTTAACGCAAATTGACAAAACTTGAACAATGGGTAAATTTTTTAGTCCTCCGGGAAATCTATCTTAAAATTAAAATCCACAGTCAAAACTAGAATTCGATAATGTTTTTGTGAAATCTATTTATTCGCTGTTCAATAGTTGCATTTGCCCTCCTTTTAACAAATGAAATAAACTGCAGTATAAAAAAACTTGGGCGTGAACACATTTTAATACTTTTCCAGAAAAAAAAACTAAAATAATCTTGAATTATATGAAAGAGTCTTCATTATGCCCAAGTTTTTTTATACTGCAGTTTATTTCATTTGTTAAAAGGAGGGCAAATGCAACTATTGAACAGCGAATAAATAGATTTCACAAAAACATGATCGAATTCTAGTTTTGACTGTGGATTTTAATTTTAAGATAGATTTCCCGGAGGACTAAAAAATTTACCCATTGTTCAAGTTTTGTCAATTTGCGTTAAAGTTTTGATTGAAAGGTATCCGTCATTAATAGTTCATAAAAATCGAAAAAATTTTAAGCCATATAATTTAATTTTTTTATTATGAAAGTTGAAGTCTGTCTGTTGGCCATTTTTGAAGCACTTAGCAATCATATAAGATTCCTGATTTTTAGAGAACTTCAAGGTGATACATGAATAATCAACCCTTAAATTTCTTGAAATTTGTAGTGTGAAATTCAACGTTCTAAAACATTGTAACCATTTTTCAAGTGCAATTAAAAACAGTCTCTGTCTTTTACATTAGCTAAAAGTCTTCTGATGGTCTTTTGGCTTTGTTTTTTTTGTCATTGCGTTTTAATTAAAGTACGATTTTGCAGCATTTGCTTCATGTGGGTGTTCATTTTAGCTTTCACAGAAACTGATTAGTCTCTTGCTGTCACATCAGATAAAGAGTAGTTCAAACTTGAGAATTTTATCAGTGAGTGATGTTTTGTCGTTCCCGTGGGCAAAACTTCGAAATTTTACACGTGCTTAAACGTTGAATGACGTGTCTAAATCTAACGGTCAATTAGGTGTAAAAAGTTATCGTTTCGTGTAACGGTTACATGTTAGGCCCAAATAGGCGCTAATGTGCTCTCTGACTTAACGTGATTTAACTTTCGAATTTAACCTCATTTAACATTAAGTTAGATTATATGATGTTAAAATGATTGAACTAGTTTTGAAACGCTAAAACTAATTGAACGTAATTTAACGTTAACTCAAGTTAAGCTCGGTTAAAATGAGTAAACCTACACTTAATCTAACTTTGATTTAGGTTAACTGAAGTTGAACGGCTTCAACGGAAGTTGATCAGCTGAACGTTGATTAACGTTAAATTAGGTTGAAATATGACGATCGGCTTAACGTTGCTTAAAATTAAGTTAGGTTTTAAAAACTGTCCGGAAACTTTGTTGAACCTAATTCAACGTTGAGCAAATTTAAACATTTTTAAGCAGATCATCATATTTTAATTGAATTCGACAAGTTGAATTAAGTTAAAATACGATGATCTGCTCAACATTTTTTAACGTTGCTCAACGTTAAATTAAGTTAAATGCGGTATAAAAATCATCGTAGGAAAAGTAAATAAATTGTATGGTGAGAAATCAAAAAGGTGAGCATAAAATGATTCCAGCAAGACTATGGAATCACGGAATGCACGATTGCGAAATGAAAATCCAAAAGAAAAGAATTTGAGTTTTGAGAAGAATTTCCAGCGAAGTGAGTTTGAGTTTTGAGAAGAATTTCAGAGATATTTGAGTTCATTATTGAGGTTCTGGCATTTCTTCATCATCAGAGCCAGAATCAGGCAATACTAATACATCTTGGCGGCTCTGACCGTTGCGGTTTCCAGGCGAGGTACAGGATGTTGAGCGACCTCTACGGTAGTTTTTTGGAGTTCTCGACCCGCGTCGGGAGATAAGACACTGTGGGAATGGGTGGTTGAGGGTGCACTGAACAACACGGCTCAACTCTGCTGTAACATAACCACACCTGAATAACACCCTGGACTGTTGCACTGGTATCTTGGTTTGGGAATGTGTCGTGGAATCTCAAACACAAACACCATTGATTAACTCAAAAACACATAACTTAACGCTAACTTCCCTTATAAATGCGACTTTTGCACCAGACACAGCAACATTAACATACTTTCTTGAAAATCGCTCTCTG